GGTAAGAGGCAAAGATTGGATTTTAGATGGAATTGGAGGTCATTAAACATATTAATCATGGTGTTACCTTTTTGGTGCCATGAGACCAATGGGAGAGCCCATTTTGGATCATTCCTAACCACCTTAGCCAAAGGCTAAGGGCTTGGTGACCACCCACATGAGTTTCCAAAAGAGTGGGAAAAAGGTCAAATGTGAAAGATTTTAGGGGTTGAGATTTTAGGGGTTGTGTTGTGATGTGTGATAGCAATGGGTTCCAGTGTTTGTGTAAGCCTGACCAAGACCAAGCCACCTAAGACCATTCACCTAGGACTAACCAAATGGGAAAAACCATACAAATTCAAGTTGTAGCCATTTAAAATTTGAAAATGAAATTATGATAGCTAGAACTCAATGAACAAAAAACCCCCAGGTGCATTACTTAATAACACTAAGGTAAATCCAAAATATCTAAACTTGGAGTAGTGCAAGGTGGTAAGAATCATGACTGGAGTGGAAAGGAAGCTGGCATCTAGATAATATTACACATGAGAAGCCTACCTTAGGAAAAATGTCCTTTGCCATCTTGATAGACTCAACTGAGAGACTTCCACCTCCATTCCCTCAAAGATTGCAAAAGCCAGTAAAGACCCTAGTAGTTTCACCCTTCCCTCTGCCATAGGAATTGAATTTCAGGGTTAAGCACTTTGTGACCTAGAAGATAGTGTCAATCTCATGTATCTCAATATTTCAAACAACTTGGAAGAGGATTAATTAAGCCTACCAATTTGACACTCCTGTTAGCAGATCAGTCAGTGGTCCATCATCTTCGAATAGTTGAAAGTCTACATGTCACCGTGGATAGATTCACTTTTTTAGTTGATTTCATAATTTTGGATTTTAAATCTAATAAGTGGATGCAAATGTGATTTGGGAGACCATTTTTAGTCACTTGAAGGGCTACCATTGATGTTGAGGGGGGAAGGTAACTTTGTGACAACATGATCATGCAGTTACCTTTATTGTTTCAAAATAATCAGACCTTCCCCAAAGCCTATAGAAATGATCAAACTCAAGGAACTGAAATAGTAACTAGGGTAACAAAAATCCAATCTATTGAATCAAGCAAGTTGCACCCAGAAGAGCAGATGATAATTGATGAATTTTTTAGGAATTTAACTTACAATGATGCCACTCTTCCTATATGAGAAGTCCACCATCAAGACCCAAACCTGTTAAAATAACAACTTAGTCTACCTCATGGAATTACTAATGATTATTTGATTGAAAGTGAGAGATTACTACTAAACCTCCACCGATTGTTGGAACAGTGTTGATATGGGTGGTATGGATTTTAGAGAATGATGTCACTTAGAGAGGAGAGAGAAGATTTGGAACAACCTAAGTTTGACATGAGTGATCAAGAATTACTGAGTTGATATTTTGATCCTAGCGACCCATTTTCAGATGATGAATGAAACTTTGTCTAGCTTAGGACTTTAAACCAATCACTATCTTGGGAGGCAACCCAAGTGCTATCCTATTTACTTGTACTTTATCGTCACATGATTTTTATCTTCATATTTTTTTTCTAAACTTTTGTATCAGTTTGTGCGTCTGTGTGTCATAAAATTGTCATTATCAAAGTCTGGTACTTCTACAAAGTAGAGTGCCTCCATAGGAAGAGGCAACACAAAAAATGTTTCATGTCAAACCGGGGTTTAGCGTGATCATGCCATGGTCTAGCATGACCACGCCACATTCAGACATGACCACTCCACCCCATGCCACTTTTGGAATGTCACAGGTTCGGGCAGCATAACTATGCCACATTTTGGTGTGACCACGCTACAACATATTAAAGTCCCCAAAATCCCCTTTCTTCTTTATCTCCTCCCTTCACCTCATTCGAGATCCTCCTCCTCTTCCTCTTCTGACTGTAAATCACCAGAAAGGAAGCTCCTTTCACTAGACCAGGCTTTGATTTCATAGATCACACATAGATACAATAAGTTGTGGTGTGTTTATGCTTTAGCTCCTTGTTTCTCCAAATTTTTTCTTTTTATTCACAGAAATCTCCCTTACATTTGCACAAGCTTGGTTAATACTAATCTTCTATGGTAGTATTGTGATTTCCATACTTGATCTCTGAATTTAGAGCCAAATATTTAATCTTGTAGCTATCCTCCCCAATCTGTATCTTTCTTGCATTTAATGGCTCCCAAAATAAAGGGCGAAGGGAATTCCTACTATGATCAAAATGTGGCTGCACAAAGGTATGAAAATGTTCTGGTTTGGAAGAAGCTAATTTTGTGGCGATAATTTTAATTTTTGGAGAATAGGATTATAGTAAAAATTGAGATGTGGGGTGGAATATTTTGTGTTATGCCATCGTCACTGCCATTGTCTTACTCGTTCATAAATTCTACATGAACACAAAAGATTCAGTTGATAGGCCAGTTGATGGGCAGGCCTTTGTGTCGGGAAAGCTTATTCCTTTTTTTCCTACCACCATAAATGATCTTTTTTGCCTCCCCAACATTCTTAGTTGTGATTTCAAGTGGTTCTTCTCTCCCAATTATCAAGAAATTATTGCTTTCCTTACTGTCGATACTAGTCAAAGAAAGGTTCATTCTAAGGAAGAGGGAGAGACACTTATGAATTTCCCATTTTCTTTTCTGACATCTGGTACTACTTCATTATCGCTCATTATCTCCCTACCACTAGTCTCACCGATTTGATTAAGAATAGGGTTTTTTTCTGAATTTTTCTATTCAAACGGGTCACCCCATAGATATATTAGTCATCCTTCACCTGTCCATCGTGCACATTGCTAGTGGTTAGATCACTGTAGGTCTAGGGCACCCTTGCATCATTTCTGCCACATGTTATAGGGAGCTGGTAGTTGTGAGGGGTGGAGATGAGATGTTAGCATTGTCTAAGCCGATCATTCAGACACCATTTTCTTCTACTGGCCCTACGTGGCCTAGAAGAGAGAAGAGAGTTCCTTGTGGCATCCCGAGCCTTCACTTAGAGAACGTTCGAGTGTTGAGGTGATGAGGCTTTTGAAGGGCATGTATTTATAGATACAAGAGGTTCGCATGCAGACACAACACTATGAAGAGTAGCACCAGTGGTAGTATAAATACATGCACAAATAAATTCAGAAGGTGCATCGATCTCTGCCTTTGGTAACCTTCATGACTGTGCCACCATTTGAGATTTATGAAACGGATGATGAAGACATGGAGGAGACCAATAGGCAAGTCGTGTGTTTGCACTCAGTGATGAGCTTACACATAGTTGAGCACTCGCACTCTTCAAGCCAGCGGAATAGAGTCTAGGTGGTAATGTCAGTGGTTGGGGTAACTTTTGCATTGTTGACTATCTTGTATCGTGTGTCTTTATTGTTGACACTGCTAACCCAACATGGCCAGTTTTTCTGGAGGGGCTACTATAGTGTTGTTTGGCCCATTAGTGAATGTAATTTTTGTGACGGGGCAATCAACAACCACTCTTATAAAATGTGTGGCCCAGTTCGACCCCACAAGTCTATGCCGACCACAACTTTATTCAAGTACTTCCGAGATATAAAACACAATATTGGTTCGGTTTTTACACTATGAGTAGCTAGAATAAATAAAAAAATCATAATATAACAGAACATGATTTCGAACAAACAACCAGGACATAATATTCATTAATACTTAAAAGACAAACTTACAAACATAATATTCAATAATACTTAAACACACATTTTAATTTTACAAGAGAAGAAGGAGAATAAGAAGAAATCCTAATTTTCTCTACCCCTTAGCAGAAGAGAGAAGGCCTTAAATAGAAAATAAAAGAGTACATAAATTGTCATAGCTGACGTTACATGAAAAAATTGATTTTACTTTTCTGGCTGGTTGAGTCAGTGGACATCTACTTTCAGTGGAATAATTCTCAAAATATCCTTTGTTGATAAGAGTTGGTATGTTTCTCTGAGAATAACTCTTGGAATATTCTCCTTCATTAGGTGGTGCTCTACTGCAAAATAATTTATTGGTACATCTTTATACTTATCTTGTTACATCAGACTCTTATTACTCATTTCTTCAAGCTTTTCTCGTATTCCTTATATAGTATCACTTTTCTGACAATACGTACATTTTTGAATTTTAGATTAGCTAATGTTCTTAACTTTAGAATAGCCAACCATACAATCAAGAACTTAACTTTAGGTTAACTAATGTTTTTTATGCACTCGGAAGAGGGTAAAAAATAAGTATGCTCTAATTTGTCACAAAACATCATTTAAAACTTTAAACATTTGAATCCTACACAGATTATGAACTCATTGCAAGAGGAAAAACTCTTTACATAATTTGAACTCTTTTTCATGAAGTTAGTTTAGAATCTCTGCATTTTCTTTAGCTTAAAATAGAACTTGTAGGAATTTAAAAACTTTATTTTACATATGATGTCGATATCCAGTTTCCTAGATTGATTGCGCCCACACTCCAAGCGGCAATCAACAACCACTCTTATAAAATATTGCGGCCACCCAAGCAGGCCTTAGCCAGCAAGTTCATATCGCAGCATTAGTGCTTCTCTTCTAATCAGGGGTTTTGAGTATAAAATAACGAAAGGGTGAGAAAGACATTTTCGATTATTGGGGTGATGAAGTAAATTTTCTTTTAAATTTTGAACTTAATAATTATTACTAATTATATTAAAAAATATTAACTTAACCAAATTAATGCTATTTATGATTTAATTTGATTAAATAATAATTCTCAAAATTAAATTCATTGCTATTTACTTCTTTTTTTAAAGTACTAATTAACGAATAATTGAGATATTATGGTAATTATAATTTAATTAATTTAATTAAAATTGACATAGATTAAATCAATATGACAAAGTATCACAAATATATAAATCATAAATGTCAAAAAAAAAGTAGTAAAATGATTTAACTAAATTTAATAACATTCATAATATTAACTAAATTTTGAGGAACCCAATTTGCAGCCAGCCAATTCGCCCATCAGTCTTCGCTTGCCCTCTCCGTTCAGCATAAATACGCGCATGCCCTAGCGGCGTACGCATCTCCACCTAAGCTCTCTCTCTCACGCGGAAAAAAAAATTAAGAATGGTTTTAGAACAGGCGAGATTTTCGGAGAACGAAAATCCGACAGAGAAGCCTCTGGTTAATCACAAGGAAAAGCATTTCACCTCTGGTGAAATCGTCCGCGACATCATCATCGGCGTCTCCGATGGCCTCACCGTCCCCTTTGCCCTAGCAGCCGGCCTCTCCGGCGCCTCCGTACCCTCCTCCCTTATTCTCACCGCCGGACTCGCTGAGGTTGCCGCCGGCTCGATTGCTATTGGGCTCGGCGGGTAAGCTCCGCCACCGCCCCGCTCGCCAGCGAGTTCTCTTTTATATCTAGGGTTTTCACGTTGTCTAACAAATTTTTATGGTTGCTTGGCAGGTACCTAGCGGCGAAGAGCGACGCGGACCACTACTCGCGGGAATATAAACGGGAGCAGGAGGAGATTCTCACCGTTCCTGACACTGGTGCTTGTGCCGTTGTTTCTGTGTTGCTCCGACGCAATATTGGCCATTGATTTTAATATAATGTTTTTTTTTCCATTGTTTTTATTGGCGAATGACAGAGGCTGCGGAGGTAGGGGAAATACTGGCGGTGTATGGTCTGGAACCCCACGAATACGGCCCGGTAGTTGGTGCGCTCCGCAGGAATCCTCAAGCCTGGCTAGACTTTATGATGAGGTGATTAATTTTTCCTGCATTGTATTATGATCAATTTTTTTCTTCTAATAAATGTACAATATTTTATAGGGACATATATATTTATACATATTTATACATACCTCCCAATTCCTATGTATTTACATATTTAACACCTAGTATGTATATATATATATATAATTATTCTATCCAAATCTTTGATATCATTTTAAAAATGCTGCTATTTTAATCTTTGAATTGTAATATTCTTCTCATTCATAGGGCTCTCTAAATGGCTTGTTGTTCATGAACAATTCGTGTTTGGTTCATTAAGAAGCTCGTGTTTGATTCATTAGCTAATTTAATGAGTCGAACAAGACAATTCTTTTACATTGGATATATAGTAAGCCGAATCCAAACAATTTGTTACATTCGATATATAAGTAAGCCGAACACCAACAAAAATATGTTTGTTCGTGTTCGACTCGTTTTAGATCGAAATAATTAAATTATATATATATATA